TTTGTCCTGATCCATTTATATAAAAAAACCTGTCTGAAAATGAGCTGATCAGATTTTGGCCACTTCATGATGTCATAACGATTTTTTGGCTTGTGTAACCATTAGCCAATCACCAACCAAGGTAAACCCCCCCACCTTATCACCTGAATCTCCTCCTAAAGCACCATTGTGTTATTTTTAACAAAATATCTTTCAGAGGGGCGTGGGGAGTGGCTCCTTATTTTCATCTAAAGTAACAGACAGAAAATCAGCACTTTTGAAACAGGTCTGAAACAGAGGGGATTATGGGATGCTACAATGATCTGTTTGGTATTTTGAGCCAAACACTTCAGAGACATGTTTTGTATCTGAGACCCATAATATATTGATGAAAAACAGTATAATAGGGGACCTTTAAATCATCACTAGTTTAATGTTACATTTTTTATCCTTGGGATAGTTTTCTGCTGTGTACTGTATATGGTTCAGTCTTCCACCAAGTACAGGATGCATTCATGCAAAGTATTGAGTGTACAGTAGCATTTTGGCAGAGCTAACAGCACAACTCACAAAATAAAAAATAAATAAAAATTGAAGTGTAAAACAATATGCTTTGGGTCGCACATACAGGGTGAGTGAAACACAAGCCTGTGTAGACAGCTGTATTGATTAAAACAGAACCTGTTCTGTCAGATGCACATTAGACAGACAACTAAAAAACACAGCTGAAGCAACTCCTATACAGCCGGCGCAGTGAGAGGAATTGAAACAACTAACATCATCTGTGTGTGTGTTTGTCACCTGTCATTAGCATCATGCCTCTACATGTATCAGCATGTCAAATCATGGAAAACATGCCTTGGGCTAAATAGACACATTATCAAAATAGTGTTTTTCTTAGGCAGACATTGCTCTCCAACAACTAAACATAACCGACTGTGACTCCCCTCCCAAACTGGTGTACACCCTCCCGGTTCAGAGAATCAACTGGGCTTAGTGGGATGTGACAGGGAGAGGAGCTGGTGCACAGGGAGAAATAACAAGCTTGGTCTCTTTGTCAGGTGTTGTGTACCCTTTTCAAAGTGCTTCATGCTGGTAAGACATAGCTCTTTGTGTAAGCTCAGACTCAATGTTTCAAGCGTCTCAAAACACACCAACGTGACACACATTTGATTAAAGAGACATGACAGCATTGTTTGAGACAAAAGTGATCTCGACTTTACCCAGCTGAAATCTAACCACACCGTCTGGGGACAGGAGTTCACTGAGCGACGATGGGAGGATGAAGAACGGAGAGAAGAGAGCCTGGCTGCTTTAAAAGCTGCTACCAAGATCTCAACAGATTGAAACACTTGATATTTGAAGCAAGGGAGCTGCAAGTATACTGTTAATCCACTTCACTCAACAAGCAGATCTGCAGCATTGAGAAACTTTGATATATAATACTAGCAGAAATGTGTGCCAGGCATTAAGAATGATGGGAAGGATTCTCAACATTATGACTTGTGAGCAATTGACAATTTACACGTATCCCATGGATTGTGTAGAGATGGGCATAATCACCATGACTTGGACTAGAGTTTAGAACATTGAGTTTGGCATTATGGTAGTTGCCACCTTGATTTTTTGGAACAAGCAGTGATATGAAAGGGTGGCCAAAGTACAACGGAACGCAGTACAAGGCATTTTTAGGCAACTTAAAAGTAACAATTACCTTTCATGAACTTAAAACCACACTATGAAAGGGTTAAAGTTCTAAAACTGAGAGAATCTGAAGAAGTTGGGTTCTTCTGAACAACACCACTTCATTTTGCAACCAAAAGAGTCGCCACCTGCTCACTGATCAGAACGTGAGGTTGCCGGACTAATCCATTACATTTGTGTTTAATTATCTTGAGAGATAAACTTTTGTTGACATGAGGACTTCTTTAAAAACGGAATACTATCTCATGTTATAAACAACACAGTTGGACATATTGGAACTTTCCGAGTCATAGGACGTGGATGTTCAAGCACTGAATCACATAACTGGCAGGCTTTAAAAAGTAATGTGTAGTGCTGCTTCACAATGTTCCCCTTTGGTGTCTCAAGACAGCAGGACATTTTGAAATGGCAAGGTGTAAATTACAATTCCTCCGTGATCTACTTTGACTTGGCTTGTTTAAACATCACTTTTGCGAAAAGTGTCAAATACACTCAAATACATGGAATACATCTTCTGCATTAATTGGTGTCGAGCTCCTTAATGCCCACAAATAGCCCTAAAACAAGGGATGAAGCTTAGCTAAAATGTCATTTTATTCTTTATTTTTTACTGACTTATGATTGTGATTGTATTTATGTGAATAACATTCAACCCTTCATCATGTTACTTGACAACCTAATATGTGAAGTTCAAATTGACATACAGTATCTCTCACATACGACGCCTGTAGCGTGCACTCCCTGATTCTTGCAACTCGTACTCCCAATTCACTATTGGGGTTTTGAAACTAAACTGTGAAAGGTTTCAAGCGCTACAGCAAAATCCCCTCTCAGATGAGGGTATAAACCGACACCTGCAGTCAGTCTAAATTGGTCCTTGAGGTTTTTCTGATCTGTGCTAACAACAGATCTCAAGTCAAGTCAAGTCAAACTTTATTTTCCCACCAGGCAGCCGGGGTTACAAACACATTCATCAGGAAAAAAAATTCAGATCACAGGGACAAATAGTACATAATGTGAAGTCCTTTCAAATTAACAATCAACAAGGGTTCGAAAAGACACTGATGCTTTTCACTGGCGATGGTTACGTCATTTAAATGTATTTCTATCTAAATTGAACTGACTGCATGGCTAATCTACTGTCCATGGGTTTGGGTATATGTATATAGCATGCAGAGTAATAAACTCCAGCATGTAGAGCAATACATTTGATCTTGTAATGAAAAGCGTTAAACCGTGCTTCATTCACAATTATTTAACCTACGTCAATCTCATCCAAAAGAGACGTTTTCAATGAGTGTACTTAAAAATGCATTAAACTTAACACACTCCTCATATGCATACGTTGTACACACTCACACTGTTCCCTACCCTTCCTTAAATAGTTCAAGTCATTCAGAGTTGGTAGGATTAGCAAAGGTCCAAACTTATATTAAATAAATCCATACACAGCAATCCTCAAATACTGAACATATCATATCTTAAGGCAGTGTAAGTGAATTTGAAATATGCAAATCTTAAAAATAGGAAGCAGATGTAATGGGATGTTAATTGTGTATTTAAGTGGAGAAACATCGCTGAGTTTCAAATCGCATGGTATTTCTTTTAAACTATCGCTGCCCATACAAAAAATGCATGGAGTATGCACTCAGAGGACTACTCATGAAAGCATTGCACCTTGAACTTTGTCCTCTGTGCAGCGGATTGTGGGTCAGTATCATTTGTATAAATAAATGTTAGAATACCTAGAAAAACATGCTGCCTAATGAACTGCAAAATGGAACCAGATGAAAAATGACTTCCTGGTATTTTTTGCCATGCTGCATTTGACACACTATGCATTAGAATCTTGGAATGCACAGAGAGGGACATTCCTACAACCAGGAAGCTGTGATTGATTGATTGATTGATTGAAAAGTTTATTAACAGCTTGTATATTGGGTACAGTACAGTACAGCTCAAAACATACAATTGTTAAGGGGATGCAGACCAGAGAAAGACTTTCGTCTTGTTTACATCAGGGTCCCCCATTTCCAATTCATCATATCATTTAAGACATATAAGACATATTTGACATACAGATGACTTATTTACAATTTACATACAGGTGGTTTTTTACATACAGATGGCTTATTTACAATTTTCATTTTAGATTTCGTTCTAATACATCCTAACCGGACATTTAAGGCGCCGTTTACACGAGGAGAAAACTGCTTGTATCTGCATAGTTTCGCGTGCGTATAGCCCTATTGTTTACACGAGGTCGATAGAAACTGACCCCACAAACGATAACGGGTCCCAAGGTGGATAGATTTGCAAACGAAACGCTCTGGGGGGTCAACCGAGTCCGTGTAATCACCTCTATACGAATATTTCCTGAAAAAATAGCGATAGCCCCACCTCTCCTGCTCACTGCTGTAGCAACTATCAAAAATAGCTGTGTTAATTAAACGCACAAGGGGTTCTTGAATGAAATAATATTATAAAAGGCAAACCAGAATTGTTAAGCCCAATATACTCCTTAAACAAAATAAACAGAGTCAGATTTCATGCATTGATCCATTATATTGACAAAGGAGCGATCTCACCCGGTGTTTGTAGAGAATATCTCTCTTTCTGAGCCGTCCTCTCCACAGAGACGTGCTTCTTGGTCGGTCGATGCAATATCCACAGATTCGGTTTCTTTCAGTTAACTTCCCCGTTGCATTTATCCATATGCTGAGGAAATGACTATATCCCGCTGAATACCAGCAATCGCCACACACACTTCCTCCTGTCAGTAGCTACTGCTAGTGCTACTGCTACTGACCATGCTACAGATATTAGTGCAAAATCTACAGCTCCTCTACCACAACCATCAGCAACAAGTGGACATGGAGAATTACATGAACTACATGTTGCTAAATACACCGCGGGGCTTAAACAGAAGGGTAGCCATGGCAACATTGCGGCGGGGCTGCTCGGGCTGCTCTTCTTCGCGGCTTTTGGTGTATTTTGGCGGAAGTTACAGCGCCACTTACAGTCCCGGCATATGTACTACAGCGTTTCCAGCGGCCTCGTTTGAACAGACACGTTAAATGAAACGAATGCATGTGAACGGAAGACTTTTTTGAATACGCATACTGTGCATAAACGCAAACGGTCCCGTGAGAGCGGGGCCTAAGACATACCAAGTCTACAGATATACAGTTAGTAACAGAGTCTAAAATGCGAGTATATACATAGATGGGGGGGGGAAGCTGTCCATTGTACGACAGGTTGAGATTTGTACCATTACCGGGGCCAGTTTTGCAATGCTCTCCCCCGAAGGTGCTCTTTATCTGTGTTCTGTGTGTTTTGTCCTGCAGTTGTAGCCCCGCCCCCTGAGTTTTCTGGGTCAGTTTGTCGTAACAGACACAGACTTTCTTCACTTCTGCAGTCACCTCAGCACGTAAGTAGAGCTGTGAATGGTTTTCTGTATTTTAGACAGTATTGTATTAGCATTCATATGTGGTCAGACTTACTTTAAAACCCACGAGCTGAAAGTTGTTTGTTCAGTTTTTGTAGCAGAGGTGTGTCTGTTTCTTTTACTTGATCTGTATAAACTGCATTTAAAACCTTACAAACAACCTTATATTCTCCACTTGATAGTAATAAGCCTTGAGTGCACTCTGATCACACTTTTGACACTTTTGGGGAAGTTTTGAAGACATTTGGCAGCAGAATTGTTTTAATCTATGTTGTTTTGTTGTTTGTATCTTTGCCACAGCGTGATCCTATCTCTTCCTCAGCGTGATTCAGTTGTAAACCAGCAGAGATGGCAAAGCTTATGGAAGATGAGGTGTTCATGGCTTTCACCACCTATGCAGTCATTGTCGTTTTGAAAATGTTGCTGATGGCTCCCCTGACTGCATTCTACCGCATTACCAGAGGGGTAAGTAACAATAGTGGTGCTATACTGTACCTGTTAAGCCCTGAGCCTTTTTTTCAGGTTTCAGGCTCGAAAATGACATGCCCAGAACAAATGACTATATCTTCACTTCTAAAAGGGGTAAATTAATAATCTTTTTTCTCAAAGCAAAGATACACCTGTGAGTTGGATGTAGAAAAGTCAGAATCAGTATAGACGTTTTTATTTTAAAGTAAATTCAGATTGAACATAGTAAAAAAATGTAAATGATAGTTTCCGTCCAAAGAAACCCCATAACTTATAGTGAAAACCACCCTTGAATGATGGGATAGTAGACAAAAAGCTTTAGGAATCCAAACTATAACATATCACAAGTACCCTGTATCAAGATTGATGCAAAACAAGTGAAATTTGACCTTTGTAGAGAGGTTTAGAAAAATAAAACCATTTAGGTGTATTTGCCATATCTCTGGAACCCATCTGTCGATTTTGGTGATTGACACCTCTTTTTAACCGATAGAGCCAATAGAATCGAGGGGGAGTTCCTAAATCCATCTAAACATTACCATTGGTGAATGAGAGTGATGCGCAGCCAGCATGCCCAAAACCGGAAGCTGGGTTACAGCTCTCATACACTCTATATGAAAACTCAGTTTATTGACATAAATGTTATGATGGATTATCAGTAATCATTTCAAAGTGACACAGAGACATTCAGAGACATCAGCAGCGTTTATATGCGTTTCAATGCCCTTGAACACAACTTTGATCAGAAAACAGCAAAGGTAAGACGTATTTGCCGTTTTGGCTCCGTAAAGAGAAGTTGTGTGTTGTCTTTGCTGGCTTTCGCTGGTCGCACAGTGATGATACTTATACCATTGGAATCTGTGGAATCTCAACTTTCATATGATATCTAGCAGAGGTGGGACCAAGTCATTGTTTTGCAAGTCCGAGTCAAGTCTCAAGTCTTTGCGCTGAAGTCCGAGTCAAGTCTCAAGTCTTTGCGCTCAAGTCCAAGTCAAGTCTCAAGTCAGGATGGGAAAGTTCAAGTCAAGTCCAAGTCCCAAACTTTGACAAAACGAGTCTTAAACAAGTCCTTATGTGCTTTTCAACAAATGTAATGACATCGATCAACAGAATAATACTTAATAATCAAACTGCTCTTTATTAGTCACATTCATAATTTAATAATCCATTTTCTCTCTGCTGGTAAAGTAACGTGTTTGTCTTCTATTGTAAGAGGGATCAGTAAGGTTAGGCTACCGTGACGGTTTGATTCAGAAGGAGTTTAATGTATAAGATCCCTGATGTTGAGGTGACCAGAATGTTTATTTCCACTGTGTACAACATGTTATAAGGGACCCACATCTATCTTTATGCAAGGGATAATGTGCAGCGAGGCGTCTCTATGGGGAAAAGAACACCTGAATCTAGATCCCTCTGCAGGTGGTACTTTAAGTATATTTTGATGCTAATACTTTTGTACTTTTACTTGTAACATTTTGAATGCAGGATCTTTTATTGTAACCGAGTATTCCTACACTCTGGTACTGTTACTCAAGTACAAGATCTGAACTTCTCCCACCTCTGGCAATAAATCCTGAGTGGTTACCAAAAAAAAAACCCTGCTCTGAAGGTTATTTTCATTTTACAAATCCTGCACTCAGCTCTGCTTTCTCCAATATCATTGAAATGCAGCCAGATGCTGCTTCTTTTTTCGGTTTTTGCAAATTTCTTGACTTTTTCCGACGCGCTTGCATTTAAATCCGGCTCCCCGTCGCTCTGTGTAGCTGGCCTGTACCACTACACCTGCTGTCTTTGGAGCGTCTGCCCCCCACCCTTCTTTCACATAATGGTATGATCCTAGTGTGTCCTCGCATATGATTGGCCGCATGGTGGCTCAGCAAAATAAAGTCCCGCCCCTGCCTGTGTAGCAGGCCCCACTATGCAGGGCGCGATGACAGATTATGTTCCTGTAGAACAGGATAAATGATGAGCAGAGAATGCCTTTTACTGCTCGTTTGGCGGGTCTTGCCAGAATTTATTCACAATTGGCACAAAACAAAACACAATTGTTCTTGCCCTTTTCCTACTCTCAATATAAACACATGTTTATATGTTCATGTCTTCAAAATATACTTTTAACATGCTTGAAGTATTCAAAATAAACACATTTGTCTATAACCAAATGTCATTAACTTCATGACTAAAAATAAGAATGTACTGTTAAGTACCTTTTCAGGATAACTATTAGCATTAGTCTAAAATGTGCTAGCATTAGCATCTAACAAGCATTTACAATAATTAAAGAACGACTGCACATAGGCTATCGATAATACAGAACACACCTTGTCATTTGGAATATAAACACTGAAAATAGGTAGCTAATAAAGTGCACAGGAGCTATAAACAATTAACTTGCATTCACTTTCATCAGGGAGCGTGAGTCTACTACATCTAAATAGCAACCGCCATTATACATACACACAGCCACCACGAGGTGGTCTTACATCTAAATAGCGACCGCCATTACACATACACACACAGACACCACGAGGTGGTCTTCTACGCGGCATTAAACATAATAAACAACATCTAAACATCACTTCAAACTTAAGACATTGCGATTTATAACATTTGTGACAATCTGTACACATTACTGACCTGTAGAACAGGAGAAATGATGAGCAGAGAATGCCTTTTACTGCTCGTTTGGCGGGTCTTGCCAGAATGGCAAGCTAACGACAGCTCCGTCATCACGTCAGACATTTTACGGCAGACGCGTAAATAATAACCAACCCCTTTGCGGCAGTGATACCCTGCCATCTACTGCCCCCTGCTGTCCATTGTTAAACAGGTCATATTAAATCATATTAATTATACACATACAATTGTGATTACACTTTGTGTGGGTCACACCTGCATGGATTCTCAGCAAGAGTTGCAGCGGCTGAAGATTCTGCTCTCCCCGACGGGAGTCTGCTCTTCTAGCGGCATCTCGCGATCGGCGTGTTGGAGACCCCTGAATTAAATTATCAAGTCACCTCAAGTCAGAAGGCTCAAGTCCAAGTCAAGTCCCGAGTCATTGGTGTTCAAGTCCAAGTCGAGTCGCAAGTGTTTTGTGATTTTGTCAAGTCGAGTCCAAAGTCATCAAATTGGTAACTCGAGTCTGACTCGAGTCCAAGTCATGTGACTCGAGTCCACACCTCTGATATCTAGTCTGTGCAGATCCGATGAAGTATACAATATTTCTACCGTGAGTTATGTGCTAAGTGCGTTAGCACTCTTTCGCTTAGTGCTAATTCAGAGGCTCGGCGTTAGACTTGTGTTTTGTTTCGGTAAAAATGGTTCATATGTTCAGGTAGCTGAGTTTCTTCCCGTTAAGTGGGTATGACACATTCATAGTTTGTTAAATGTTAAGAAGCCCTCAGACACTGCTCCCAGGCTTAACAGGTTAACAAATATATTTCTGTTCTACATTAGTCTTTTCTGGAAAATCGATAAGAATTGTATTGGTTTTACTCCTGGTCTTTGAGAGGGAAATGTGGAATGTCTAACTGGCGCTAACTTTGGTTTTTGTGTCAATTTATTTCATTTTATCTCCCTAATTTAGGCTTTTGCAAATGAGGAAGATGTGGCCAGAAAGCCTGCAGAGGAGAGGAAGAAGCTGCTGAGGAACCATCCAGATGTAGAGCTAGTTCGAAGGTGAGATGATAAGAGGTTATGAGTGACCTTAACACAGGTTCACAGAAAATCCTGGCTAGGTTATCATGGGAAGCTAAATAATAACTAAACCAGATAAAAGACTTCTATGGACAATTCAAATGGTAAACTATCCAATAAAAACAAGTTGTGATAGATACTGATAGATCCTATGTGTTTTTGTTCTCCAGGTGTCACCAGAATGACATAGAGAACATTATTCCCTTCGTGTTGGTCGGCCTGCTTTACGCTCTGACTGGCCCTGTGCTGTCGGTCGCTCTGCTTCACTTCCGCATCTTCGCCGGCTCTCGCATCTGCCACACCATCGCCTACCTGTTCTCTCTGCCTCAGCCCAGCAGGGGTCTGTCCTGGGTGATCGGCTTGCTGGTCAACTTCTCCATGTCTTACAGCGTGCTTAGCACCGTTCTCTACCTTTAGAAACCAAACTGGACCAGTTGACCTCTTCACATGCCAACATGAAACCTGTATCTGTTTTTTACTTTGTTCTGGTTTCAGTCTGATAAATAAACAATCTTTACACTTACTCTTTGTCCTGGAACTAATGTCAAGGGTGGAGATGTTTTTTGTATCAACTTTGCTAACAACCTTGTTTCTAAGTTCTTCTAAAGGTGAAACAGGTACTTACAGTAAACGATAGCAGGATCATTCATATAAAATGTCAAAGAAAGTCCCCCAGTTACTTCAGACTTGACAGCAATATTCAGACAGTTATGTGACCAGCCCATATAACAATTATGTCCATATTTACTTTAAATCAGGCCCGGCGCTCCCCCAACAAACACGTTTTTTATTTATTTTCAAATGTGCACTTTAATGCTACGATGTATATGATGTTAGATAGTAAGTCAAATTCATAACATATATCCTAAATCAAACACATGTTTAATACAGACTTCTGTGATTAGCCCTAATTTAGACCAATCGCTGTTCAGAACAGATCACGCAAGCAAGTGGTTGTGCTTCACGCTGCTCTGCCGCATATTCTGGAGTTGTTTTTACTTTGCATTCCCATTTCTGTTTGAAATGAAAAAATGCATATCAGAAATTGGTTTTAATCCACTAGTAGGTATAAGGATTTATTAACAACAAATCGTGATGAAAGGGATTCCGGGACCGTAGCAGCAGCTAGCCTTAACGTTGCTAGCTTGACCCGATCTCTACCAGCCCCCGGGCCTCCTTGTCTTGCCAGCACCACCCCCAGCGGTGCCGCACCCTGCACCACACCCGCCAGCCTCCTTCTCCTCCTTCCCAGCAGCACATCCACAGGTACTACTGCTATTGGGCCAACAACTGTATTACGCACCACATTACTCACTGCATAAAGTTATGCCGCTCTGTATTATGTACATATGTTTGCTGCTGTGGTCAGCGGTGGCCCAAGTTTAAGGCCCAAGCTAAGCTGCTGTCATGTTTTTGTATGAGTGCAAAGCTCATGCGTGTATGTGCCGCCGCCCACACAATGTTGCTAAAGTGGTTTCCATGCTGCTCTTTTTTGGTGCGTATTTGCACATGTGTGCGTCTTTACCATGGTCTTTACGCAATGCTGTCAGCCATGCTGTAAATGTTATCTATACTATGCCACGGCATGCCACGGCATATCACGGTTGTCTGGGCCTTCCCATGAAAATCACATGCCCTCTCTGTACATGTGTTCGGGTGCTGAGCCTGCTTTAAATGGATCATATGTGTGACAGTGTGAGTATCAGTGTATCTGAGGTTAAGTTGCTACTACATTAGCCAACCTAACTGTACGTGTTATTTGAGGACTGATATCCTTCCAAAGATTACACAGCCCCAGGATGGATGCCAACCATTCCAATCTTTGGACTAATTTTTTGCTCTTCACGATGACTGTGTGCAGAAAACAAGGGAACATGCACTATACACTCTTACCTGCACACGCACATAATCCTGAAACGGTTTAACTGATTTAACTTCCTGTTGGACCACACAAACAAGATAAATGTCTCTCTACTTGACTTCGTTGTCTTTGTTATGAAGGTCCTATGGGGAATGGCGAAACACTTTAATAAAACATGTCAAGGAATATGTATTATTATTAAAAGTTAGACAACATGTCTTAGAATCTGGATTTCTAAGATGTTTTGCTAACATACACAGCTACCAACAAAAAACATGTATAACTAGTTAGATATGAGTGTTAAGAATGATATTGCAAATACAAATAGTATCTGTGAATAGACTTACTTTATTACAAAAGGCAGAACAAATTGACATGGCTCATCTTTGGTGTCATTTTATGTTATGTGAATCTCAGCAGGGTGTTGACAAATTGAAAACACTATCTTAAATAAAATAAAAGTAATGTCTATTTTGTTGTCAGGTGTGACTGGTGTTGAGCTGACAACAAACACATAAACTCAATCATTTTATTTGAAGTCAGTCAGTGGTTTTCTTTTTTCCAGTTGTCAAATATCTAAAGTTGAATAAATATGAAAAATTATAAAGTATATGTCTTTATTTTAATATCAATCATATCCTCTCTGTCTCAGATGTTGAGTTCAGTTGAGGGAGAAATTAAAAAAATGAATTAAACAATTTGACATAGACATTTCTTGAGATCTGATGTAATCCAGCATCCAGCATGTAGGAGCTTCTTAAACGTACAAATCAAACTATATATTCTATTCTATACCTGTTATGTTTTCTAGTTAAGTGGAAACTGTCTTATCGTTCAGTGCTATGGTTAATTCTTTATGTTCAAAGTTTCTTGAAACGGATTGCATTTCCTTAATTTATATTTTCTTTCTAGAAATGAAACTGCTCCTTGTCCTAATTTTCTTCCAAGTATCACTATTGTTTAGGAAGCTATTGATAATTTGATTATGATATTGTTGAAAATAGTGAAACATATCTGCAGTATCATTCGTTAGTCTTCTCATCTGTAATTTAAATTCAACAAGGAAAACCATAATTTCTATACAAAGAGTAATTCTTCAAATTAGATTTAAACTTTTTAATTAAACACACTGAAAATCCATGCAAGAGTGTCTGCATTTTTATGATATATTATATTTTTTCGTTCATTATTCATTTCCTTTATTGACTGATAAAATGAATCATATTTTGATCAGCTCAGTAGCAGATGAATAATGTGTAATAATGTGCTGCCAACTGATAAAACAAACAAAGAATGGAGTCACGTGAGGAGTTGAACATTGGGAGATATAAAAGAGCCATTTATGAAATTCAGTTTATGTTTTACTCTAGACATTCTATGTATTACACAGTCTTATTCACAACTACATTAACAAGTGCAGGAGTATTCAGATGTTTCATTAGCAGGAACAGAGGAGAGCTGACAGTGACGCTTCAGATGTGTGTCTGTCTTCCACTAGAGGGAGGCATTTTAAAAGTCAACTGAGTTGCTCCTCATTAGGACTCATTTATGGACCAGGTGCAGCTCATAAAAGCGCTTCAGCTCAAACAATTAACTTAATTTGCTCGGCTGAAAACATTCCCCTGCATATTCCACAACGCAGCTTTCATTTCATTTCCAGCAGAGCACAAACACTCTAACATATGCAAAGGCTAAATGCAAGGAACAACAACAGCATCGGTATCATTTAGCCCAATTTGATAACATTTTTATACAGAGTTATCGTCATCACCGCTTGTGTTTGCTGTTAGGAAGTGAAGCGTACGGACTTGTTTAGATGTGTCAGATGATGAATGCCTCACGCTTCACATGAAGGTGACTGGCTCCAACACAGAGCAGTGAAACCCATGGGTGGGCACTGTAAATAGTGGGGAAATTACCATGAAGGCTGCTTTGGGGCGGTTGCTCGTCTGCATTGTGTCCTGTCCCTTTATAAGTAGAGGAGTTTTATGGGAGCTCATTTGTTCGGGACCCTTGGCCCTCCAGGGTCTCTCATTCCTCAGACAAGCCAGGCATTTCACAGTTTGGATGGAGGCGGAGGAACACCTCAACCCCTTTCTATAAGTAACAACCACAGACACACCCAGGACGCCTCACTAATGTTGCATCAGTGGACTCACTTCTCCAATGAATGTGCAACTGTTTGCATTAGCAGAATGTCTTTTAGTGAATCTGCCTGGATTGTGTTGGTCAAATTGAATGTATCTGCAAAATGTTCACTGCCTACTCTGGATGTTCTCTGTTCTTTGTTTAGGTGACATGGCCAGCAGTGTGTGCATGAGACCCTGTGTGTAGAGACCCTGTGTGTAGAGACCATGTGTGTAGAGACCCTGTGTGTACTGTGTAGAGTAGGGATGTTAAGATTCACCGATTCGCATCGGTGCACCGGCATAAACGTTCAAGATGCGAGTGCACCGGTTGAAAGAGTGCACATCGGCTACAGCTTGGGTTGAACTCGCGATGCATCGATTGTAGCGTCTTTGCATCGGTAAAAAAACGATTCATTCATATAATATCCCCTCATCTTGTCAGCACTCAGCAGAGACGATCTTTGATCTTTGCTTCGCCACTACGGAGGCCGAGAGTCTCAGTTATCAACACACGGAAGTCGAGGAGAAAGAGAAACACAGCGCACCGAAAAATACCTACAAATCAAACGTTTGGCAACACTTCGAATTTTTCAAGAAAGACGGACAACTTGAAAAATCGCTCGCAAATTGTAAACGATGCCGTGCGGCTTTAAAGTACACAAGTAGTACGAGGAACTTAGCGACGCACATAGAGGCAACATGGGGTCTGCGGCTGAAAAGAGAAACCTGAAAGTTAGACATATGAGTTCAATCACTCAGTGAGGTGTTCTGTCAGTGAGAGTGGTGTTTAGTTTACAGCAGCCTGTGACTGCCAATAATAGTTTAAATTTCTTCCTTACAATTGTAAGCAGTTATGAAATACCTGTTTGTGAAAGGTTATTTTCTTTATTGTTCCTATAGAAACCACTGCTTTCTGCTCACTGGTGAGTTAGCCTATGCATGAGTGTTAAGCACATCAGGCTGGCAGTTGTATGTGCATTGCACTATGGTAGTTGTTATTTGCACATTGTTAATCCTGGGCAATGCATCCTTAAATTGTTTAACTGTGAGGTGTTATAAAATTGAACTGTACTCTGGAGACAGAGAACACTACTACACTTGTGAAAAGGCCAGTTTGTGAAAGGTCCAAGTGTTTTGTTTTTTTAAGGTAAAAAAGAAACAGCATGATGGGATGCGCAGTACTAGTAGAGAGAAGCAAATATGTGAAGCACTTTTTTGTTAATGTATGATTTGCTGCATATAAGGAATAAAACAAAATCCTCTGTCGTACCATATTGAATTGTATCATTATTTTGCATCGTGTTGAATCACATCGTATCGCCCCGTATCGCATAATGTTGAATCAAATCGTATCGAACTGTATCGCAACAGGGGTGAATTGTATCGTATCGCATCGCCTGGTGTTTCAAATGTATCGTTAATGTATCGTATCGTTGGTAGCGTATCGAGAAGCGCATCGTATCGGCCTCAGTGATGGAGATGCACATCCCTAGTGTAGAGACCATGTGGCCATATGCTCACATGGCGGTTAAC